AAGTCGCCAGTTCTCAGCTTCCAGCTCCACAGATTGCTCCGCGTACGAAAGTTGTACTAGAAAGTCGCCAGTTGTCATCTTCCAGCTCCCCAGATAATCCGTGTACTAAAGTTGTACTAGAAAGTCGCCAGTTCTCGTCTTCCAGCTCCCTCCAGATACTCCGCGTACTAAAGTTGTACTACAAAGTCGCCAGTTCTCAGCTTCCAGCTCCACAGATTGCTCCGCGTACTAAAATTGTACGACAAAGTCGCCAGTTCTCAGCTTCCAGCTCCCCAGATACTCCGCGTACTAAAGTTGTACTACAACTTCGCCAGTTCTCAGCTTCCAGCTCCCCAGATACTCCGAGTACTAAAGTTGTACTACAAAGTGGCCAGTTCTCAGCTTCCAGCTCCACAGATTGCTCCGCGTACTAAAGTTGTACTACAAAGTCGTCTTCCAGCTCCCCAGATACTCCGCGTATGAAAGTTGTACCATAACTTCGCCAGTCTTTCCTGTCAAGTCTCCAAAACGAGCATTTCGTACAAGACTTTCTCTAAAGGTCACACGTCAAGTCTCCAAAACGAGCGTTTCGTACGAGACTTCCTCAAAAAGTCACACGTCAAGTCTCCAAAACGAGCGTTGCGTACGAGGCTTCCTCAAAAAGTCACACGTCAAGTCTCCAAAACGAGCGTTGCGTACGAGACTTCCTCAAAAACTCACACGTCAAGTCTCCAAAACGAGCGTTTCGTGCGAGACTTCCTCAAAAATTCACACGTCAAAGTCTGCAAAACGAGCGTTTCGTACGAGACTTCCTCCAAAAGTCCAGCGGAAACACCCATCGGAGCACACACATCACGCAGCCCTGCCAAGCAGTTTCGCGATTCCAGCGCCTTTAAACAACACCCGCTCACACGCCAATCCCAATGTGATAGCGACGTTCACCTCTACCACAACTCACAACTTCACGATTCCACGAAAAGTGACAATATCATCTCATGTGAGCTTCAACAAAATTTGCACCACACCGCACGTTTGGAATGATTTCGACCCGTTCTGAGTACACTCCCTTCCACCAAAATCGCCACTTCAGCTGAGACTTGTCACGAAAACCGAGCTTCGATGCCACACCCTGAAACGCAAATCCCAATGGCGCGGCCACATCCAACACCCCAAAAACACGACTCTCCAAACGCTAATCCCAATGGAAATGCGCAGCAACCTGCGGATCTCACAAAACGCTGCGCCTGTGCAGCGAAATGCATCCCGTTTCTTGCGCGACATGTCATTGTCATGCAAATCACAATGGACTAGCGGCGCAAACTGACACGTGACACATCCATGAAAAGTCACTTGCAAAAGTTTCCCCCAATGGCAGCAAATTTGAGACGCGACGACGACGACAAACGACGACAAACGACGAGGATACTAGAATGAGGACACTTAGTCTTCAAGGAGGTCACCTAGAGACTCCAAAGAGGTCACTTTGAAGGTCCTGGTAGATGATGGATCATCATCATTCCACTGGGGGCGAAGAACATCCAAGGGGGCCCAAGGGCCACAGACCAAGTTTGTCATCGGCTCCATCGCCTCCATCGCCACGCCGCTCCAGGAACATCGAGATCGCCCGCAACTTCCATGGACGCGCGGCGGTGGAGAAGGGCCTCAGCTGGGGTGAGGCGTGCTACGGCCCCGACGTCCGGTGAACCCCCTCGCGCCGGAGTCTGCGATGTGTTGGGGCTTGCGCCGAATGCCACGATGCCAGGAGATTGAGCGCAAGACCCTCGTCTTGGCCATCCTGAAGGTGCCGAACATCGACGAGACGACGCAAGCAATTGCCTCCAACCTAATATGGCCTCTCCAACTTAATACCCTTGCTTCTTGCATGGTGTTTCGCGCAGGTGTGCGCGATGACACGCAGGCGTGGGTCGCGTCAGGGGCAGTTTGACACGTGAGATTACATGAGCATGATTTATCTTGAAGTTTTTTGAGAAGAATGCACGCTTCTGGTGCCAGCGCCCAACACGCTTGTCTAAAGCTGTTGACGCAACTGATTCTCTTGCGGGTGAGTTTTCCTACATTGGGATGCATGTTCGCCCCGCAGGTTCTAGCAGGTTTCGGAGCAGGTTCCGGAGGAGGTTCCGGAGGAGGTTCCGGAGTCGGTTCCAGAGGAGGTTTCGGAGCAGGTTCCGGAGTATAGGTTGCGGAGCAGTATAGGTTCCGGAGCAGGTTCCGGATTGGCTGAGAAATTGGCCTTAAGCTGTTGGGGACTTTTCTTAGGTTTTTTTATTAGATTTTTTGTATCAACACATATGCATAAAGCACCGTAAATACAAATAAACTTGATGAAAGGGTTGGTTTTGGGGGGGCACCATAGATATATATATATATATACATATACCTGGACCCTCCAACATGTCTCCTCTGGTGGCTTTTGCAGACTTAAAGTCGCAAGTAGTGACTTGTTGGAGGATGCTGGTATGTATCCATGGTATCCTGGTGCCATGGCCCACAGCCATATCCAGGCACCCATTGATCAAGACAAATCATCGATGGAGCGACTTGCTGGTAGCTCCTTCGGTCAAACCAAACCTTCGCTGCGCCAGACACCTTCGCGGCGCCAGACACCTTCTCCGCGATGCAGAGAGGACAGAGTGAAAGGGGGTAAAAATGGAGAGAAGGTTGAGCTACCATGGACCTTCGGACCTTCTACCCCCTACACTACCTTCTCCACTTCTCTCCTGGAACTCGTGACCGAACCACCCAGGGAACATCCGAGCTTCGCTGACGGTTACGAAACTCGAGGTCTCCAATGAGCTTCATTTGTGGCTTCCCTTTGGGAGATGAGCAAAACCAAGCAACCTCCCGGGAAATGCTCAGCAAGGCCATGGCTAGTAGGTTGGAGGCCATCGCTACTATTTGGGCATCCTAATTGACAAGGTCGACCAAAGGAGGCCACCGGGAGTTGAGAGACTGCCGTGAGACATGTTGACACACAATCACTGGTTCAATCAAGCTCTGCATGCATTCACCTACGACCCTCGTGAGTATCAGTCAACTTCATACCAACAACACTTGATCATCTTGCAGGCAGCTGAGAAGTCTCCAGGGCTGGTGGCGATGCTCAGTCAAGCGCAGGAGGCCAGACAATGAAATACATGTGCTAAGAACCCGTGATCACCGAGCAAAACCTCTTGTTCGAATCTCTTTCACGCAGGGTGGGCCTTCCAAAACAAGAACCTGCACCTGTTTCAACACCCGCTGTGCCAAATCACCACCAGCCGAGCATAGCGTTTGCAAAATGACAGGCGCGCGGCCGCAGCGCGGAGCGTCGCAGTCGCAACCAGAAGGACGGCGCGCGAAGAGTGCAGTCCAAATGGACCTGTATTGAAATTTGGAGACGACCATTGGGGTACAGGGTACCATTTGGGTACAAAAATATAAGCTATGGATTTCCCAGATTTTGGGGGTAAAGAAGAACTAGACTAAAAGGCCAGCCGGGCGGCTGGGAGGCTCCCTGGCTCGAGGCTCCCAGCCAAACATCCAACGACCCTCAGCCTCAGCAAGACTTCTGAGCTGGTGAAGAGGAACTCGAACCCATCTTTCTGGATTTGGGCAGAATGGTCATGTGACATGTGGCGACCCCTGTCACCCTAGTGTTTACATAAGAACCGTCAACCAGGGAGCTTCACCAGCCTCTTCTCGTGGTTTCTCCCTCTCTGCAGCCATAAATGTTTTGGAGTAGATCAAAATTGATTCAGCACGATTTACAGTAACGTGCCACTGTGCGATGTTGGGTGGTTGCCTGATTCCACTATATACTGTGGCACATTGGCCCGGTGCCTTCTGTCGAGGACACCCAAAAGCAATGTCGAGGAGAGCTGAAAGCGATGGAGGCAGAGCTGAACAGTGGGTGTGTGGCAAGGACGAGGGGAGATGGTCTTCTCCACTGCCACAGGTGATAGTCTTGACTTATCTTGACTTGGAGTTTAACTCTATGGCAATCCAATGGTTGACAGGTCCTTATTCACCACACATGTAGTGGTGAACGGGTGGATACATATTACCAACTGCCAACCTTCAGGACCCTTCGGTCCCTGATGTGGATGCGACCCTTCGGTCCCACAGCGAACACGGCCCGAGCGAAGGGATTCGCCCGAGCGAAGGCGACCCGATCCATGGGCCCGATCCATGAGTCGACATGGCGGGGCTTGGGGGCTTGAGGGGGGGAGTCCCTGGGTGTATACCCAATGATCACGTTCCGCCACCCAGGAACCTGCCATCATGTTTGGCCATGGCTCCAGGCAGCGGCTTTGGGTCCGACCAGCCGCTCGCCGAAGGCCGGCAGCGGGCGCGGGATCATAGCCTTCTCTTCGGTCCTCGGCGGAAGCATGGGGGATCCGGCCAAAACACCAAGGAGGTTGAACAAGCAAGGGCAGATGTTTGCCAGGCAATTACAGATCTTTTAGGACATGACGGTTTGAAAGCAGCACAACATCAATTGGTTTGGTTGAAATGTGAAACCAGGTCCAAGAAATTGATGATTTTCTGCCCTAGAGAAGGTGGGATTTGCTCAGGCTGCACCACCATTTTAGTTGGAAGCAGACTTGTGAATGAAAGAACATCAAAGAAATGGCTTCTGGTCAAGGATTCGTTTCTCACGACTTTCTGGAGCATACCCCTAGGCCCCAGCTGAAGAGGTGCATCCATTCATCGAGCCGTCTAGCCGTCTGCCTCCGTCGAAGACAGGACTCGCCCAAGATCTCGAAGGAAAATACACGAGATCTCGATGTGTTTCGATTCTCGAAATAAGAACCTCCAACCTACTAGCGATGGCCTCCACCCTAGAAGCGATGGCCTCCCAAGAATCGACCAAGGAAACATGGAGAATCTCAGTTCTTCATCTTCGTCTTGGAGCTTAAACATGGAGCAACCCATCTTGGAAGTAAAGCACTAACCGGCACTGCAACAAAAGCCACTGCAGCGTGGGATTTCTCAGACAGGCCGAAAAACGCACGTCTCCCATGCGCAAGATTCAGGCACGAACGGCAGGTTCCTGCGGCTCGGGGTTTGTTTAAAGCACCATGTTTGGCTTGCACAGAATTGGCTCAGTAAAACTATCTACTCTCCCTGAAACAACATGGAAGTGGAAAACCCCCTGCTTGTAGAGGAAACTTGTCTTCCAAGGGACCATTTTCCACTTCCATGTTAGTTTCAGGGAGTGTAATACTACCTAGATTAATGATCATCCCTAGTCTGTTCCCAAGGGACAACGTGACAAAGTGGCTAAGGTGAAAGGTTGACTCTCGATCTCTTTTTGCAGTAACAACAGCTCACCCGCTTCACCAGTCTCCTTGCTGTAAGGGTATATATTTAGTATTTTTGATTTATTTTTGCAAATTCGGTTCATTTTCCACGATCATGAATTGAAGACTTTGTCAGAAGGGCGGTGTGACTATTGAAGATAGATGGCAGGACATGCCGAAAGCCTTTCGGACTGCTGCTCTTCACTTGCAGTTCTAAAATAAGATGTTGCTTTGCTGAACACATGCGAAGACGTGGTGTTTCGAGACACTGTACGAAACACCTCTCTATATCTATATGATTTCACACATACAGATAGATAGGGAGATCTGCATCTCTGTGAGATTTGCGACTTCTAACTGGAGCCTCTTGGAATTGCTTCCGGCAACAAACACCGGTGGACAGGCCACGCGGACTTCTCCCCTTCGAAAGATCTGCGAAGCACAGGCTGGAAAGTGTGGGGTTGCATATGGTTGGATGATGGATTTTGGACTCCCTCTTTTGGGCTTTTAAACCGTGTCTGATGGCCTGATGGTATGCCTCTTCACAGGAGGCTCGAGAAGTGGGCGGGCGCAGCTGGATCCCTTCACAGTGCATGGCCTTTCTTCAACGAGCTAACGAGTTGTTTTTCTTCCACGCCCTTGGTGAACGCCACGTTGACCAAGAGAGGACACCTTTTTGCGAGAGTTTGGGGAGATCAGAGTTCGAAGTGACAGTTGTTTCCTGGTGACAAGAGGTGCCCATAAATCACCTGTTATGGCCTCAAAACAGCCTTTTGGAGGGTCCTGGTAGGGACCTTTCCATTTTTTGGGTTCTTTTATGTCTGCTTATATACATGCAGATGAAGAGTGCCTGGTCACAGAATCTGCCAGGCGCCTCTGGATGAATCGAGCGCTTTTGGTTGATCAAGTGGGGGGTGTCGCCCTCGCCCGATTGACGCCAGGAGACCCCCAAATCTTCGCGAGGAGACGTCCCTGGTCTGCATTGGACGGACATGTACATTCCTAGTCACAGTTCTTGACATAATGAGCTAGTAACCTGACTTGAGAGCTGATCAACCACTGTGAGAGTTGATGGAATACACCCCGAGAGTCCAGGAAAATGACTCATGGCTACCAGGTGGAGTCGTTCAGGAGTCGTTCGTCACGGAAGTTCTCTTCGCTCTCCTCAGGCCCGCAGCTCTCCTCGCAGCGCGCGTGGAGTCCACAGCGAGCCGCGGAGTCCGCCTGTCGAGGCGCTTCCTCAATGTCCGCGGAACGGAAGCTTGGTGGTTTGGCTTTCGGCACAAGCCAAGCTTCTGCGGCTCTGATTCCTTGGGTGGTGTCCGAGCTCATGTGGAGCTTTTGTGGTTCGCTCTTGGCCCATCTTTTTGGTGCCAAGAAATGGCCAGTCACCTCGAAGATCGAGACGAGACCGGGCACTCGGGCACGAGACCAGGGCACTCCGTCATGTGGAGCCTCCAGACGGACGTCGTTTCGAAAGCCACGGGAGTCTGAAAGGCCTGAAGAGCGAGCGTCCGAAGAAGAAAAGACACCAGGTTCCAAGATCCGTGCTTCAGTGGGCTTTGAGATGCTTCACAAACACCAGAAACATCCAGATCCCCGTTTCAGGATCTCGAAAAAGGGGAGTTCGACCTGTTTCTATGTTCCTGAAGGACGACCATTTTCCTGATAGCAAACAGGGGGTGAACTCCACTTCCATGGTTATTTCAAGGAGTGTCTTTGCCAATGACACTCTCTGAGTGGTGCTTCAGGAGCGAGAATTCGGCAGGAACATGCCCCGCGGAGGTAGGAGACAGGCTGCCCCTGCCCCGCCGGAATCTTCCGGTGCAGAGTGACCCCCCCCAAGTGTTCCCTGAAACAGGCGAATCCTCGAGTCCTCTTATGTCCTCTTGAAGCCTGGTTCCACCTTTGACTCTGTTGAAAAGAAGTTGGGGAGCACCCTCTGGAGTGGCTTCTGAAAGCGCAGGTGCACAAGCCCTCAAAGCCCTCAAAGCCCTCAAAGCCCCCCGTGGCCGCAGCTTCTCATCCGCAGAGCAGAATGTTTTGTGCGCGAGACTTGGTCACCCTGGTTTTCCCTGGTTTTCAATTGATCTGGCGACCCCGACTGACTGAAAGAACGTGTCCGAAAACAAAGGATCATGTCTGATGGAGTAGGGAAAACTGGGCTAGACATGACATGCTGCATGCTTGGAGCATTCGCATTAGACATCCCACTCACCCATGGGGGGCGGGCCAGCCGGGTAAACCAATAGTCCTTACCCCCGAGTTCTCCAGCCTTAGTCAACACCGGAGTTCTTCAGCCTGCATGGTGAGAAGGCAAGTTGTGGTTTGTAGCAAGTGATGTGGTTTCAAGTTCATGGCAAAACAACCTTTACTATACAGGCGCTTGATGAAATCCAGGGGGTGTCTTGGCTGGTGACCAGCAAGATCTTCCGCTTGAGATGGTGCGCAAGTTGGGTTCGTCCACGTGTTCCCAGTCTTCCCCTCATTCCACACCTCCAAAACTGTATGAACAAAAATACGCGGATCGGCGTGAGCAATCCATGACATGCAATCTGGCCGCATGGTGGGCAATCCTATTGAAGAGTCGGGACATCGGATCACGAGGACATGGAACCTTATGGACTCTTTTTCCTACACCGGGTATGGATTGTTGCGGTATACCAGGACACCCTGTGTGGGGCTTCGTTCTTGATAGCCCAGAAACGCTGTGATTCGGGGTGTTCATGTCTACCACCCCGAGCGCGTGGGTGTGGTAGGATGGATTTTGGGCATCGTCCGAGTGCAGTGGATGTCCAGATTCCCAAAGGATGGATGCGACCGCCCAGATTCGCTGACCAACCCTGGGAGAGAACTCCATGTCTTCTGTGCCTTCGCCCCCCTTGAGGGATCGGCCCACGCTGCGGATCGACCTGTGGGAACGACATGGGACGCAGCAGCGGCTTCCAGTGATGTGTCCGTTCTCGAACGAGACCTATACCCTAGGCAGTTCTTACCGAACAACCATGTTGGTCACCTATAAGGGATTTGATGCTGCAACACCAGGTCAACCGTTTTTTGACACCCGTCGTCTCCCGCGCCTCGTCGCTGGAGGCCGCGACGCACGTCCCGCGCCTGACCAAGCTGCTTGCCACGCCGCCCAAGGAGCCGCGCAAGGATCTTCCGCGGCGCGCGGCGTCGCAGGACCGGGGGGAAGAGACGGCTGGGGTTGAAGCTGAGACGGCTGGGTGTAGCCCATGGGGCCCATGACCAGTAACAGTTGGTACAAGATGGTCAAAGATGATCGAGAATTGCCTTTACCAACCAAGCTGAAAAATCCACTGTTAACTACTGGTGGGATATATACAGTATATACTATACACCCAAGTTCAGCATCCTTTTCTTCTCCCCCTCTTCTTCTAAAAGCTTTGTGGACGCGACGAGTCGTGCCCAAGCCGCCACACCGTCGCCGTAGGACTTCGGCCGCGTGTCGAGCCTCATCCCGCCCCACGTCCGCGCGATGCTGGCTGAGCGCTCGCCCAAGCGGCGCCAGAACGACGCGCCCGACGCGCCGCCAGAGCGTCCGCCCGGGCGCCGCCCCACGGCGCGCAGTCCGGGATTGTTTCTGCCGGAGGTGCAGGAGATCAGCTCGGAGGAGAAGCGGTCCGCGATCCTTTCCGAAAGAGTGTGGAGAGAGGGAAGAACAGCAGAGATGAGGGACAATGTTTGGTGCGAGATCTTGTCCACTGCCTTCTTGCAATGTTCTGGTGCGACAGTCCCTTCTTCCCCAGTTGCACATGACCCCCAGTTGTTTCCAGAGCACGTTCAATGCACAGCGATGCTCCACACGGGATCCCTTCGACCGACCTGAGCCGACCGGTGTAGGACCGAACCATGTTTCACCCCCTACCGTCCACATTATCAGAGGTTGGGGAGGTCATACTGTATACTATGGGGGTCCGGCCGGTTCTCTTCTTTTCGGATCCATCCCCATTCCGCCTCCGACCCCTTCGACCTCCGGGCAGACGGAGAAGCTCCAGGAGAGCGTGAAGGATGAGGAGAACCTCTTTGACGACACCGAGCTGCGGCTGTACCGTCAGCGGCAGCAGATGGAGCGCCACGCGCAGAGTGCTTGGGAAGATGCCCAGCGCTTGGCCGAACACTCGGCAAGAGTGGAAGAGGCCAAGAAGCTGCAAGTGGTGAAGGAGAGAAAAGGGCACAGGTGGAGAGAGTAGAGAAGCTAGAGGAATATATATATAGAATTATATATATATATATGTATATAGGACAAAGAAAATTCTTGATGGTTCACTTTAATTATTGATTTTAGTAATTACTCCTATGATGTACTCCTTTCATTATTTGCATTCAATTTGAAGTGGTAATTAGTCTCTTTTCCTCTATATGAAAAATGGTTCCTATAACATCCCTTCAATTTGCATTTCTTTATACTAAAAGCGCTTATATTAAAGCAAGAGACATGCAAATATGATTTTTTCAAGGGATTATATATAGCTGTGGACCCTGGACGCTTCAAACTCTTGGTCAACCCATGTTTCTTTTGCTAGAGTGGAGCTCTTCGTGGGGGGTCTGCACGGATCTCTTTGCAGAGTTGCCAACCCGCGACCGCGGAAGCCCGGGGACCGGGGCCGACCCGCGGTGATCGGATGCGTGAGGAGAAGACTGAAGCCGCCCAAAAGCAACGGCATGAGGCGAAGCATGGCGAAGCTGAACAGCCTTTAGTCTTTGGGAGGAGGGCAGGAGGGGAGGACCCAAGGGTGCCTGGAATGGCCACACGGCCATGCGGCGGGTTTTGGGGAGCGTTTAGCGCAAGAGCCGCCAAATGAGTGCCAATCACTGTATGGACATGGAGAACAGGAAGCTCCTGAATGTCCTGGAACCTGTTCTGAAGGACGTTTTCTTTTTTGGAATGGAACGCTGCAATCTCCAGTCAGAATACTGTAACTTTTTGGACTCAACGTAGAAGCAACACCTGTCCGAATCAGGAATCCAAAAGTCAACATGACGAGAACCCAGACACGACTAATGGGACTGGCATATTTACATACATTGGGGTAGTTGAAAAAGGGGTGAATGTAGGTCCAGACGCCAGTCCTAGACAGGAGTCTTGCCAAACATCTTGTCCTTAGGACCTTCTTCTTCCCCGAGTAGATTCGTGCTCTGTCAAGGCCATCGCCATTGGGGAGTCCCAAACACCCAAAAAACCTCATGCTTCTCCCCATGTTCACCTCGCCCACCGGAGCCCACCACAGGTGGAGGCGGCCTTGCAGCGCTTGCGCCAGGCCGTCGTCGAGGTGGGCCCCGGAGCCGCCGGAGCCGCCGGAGCCGAGCTTCGGGGAGGTCAGGGAGTCGGAAGGAACAGGGACTCCCAGTCCCGGGACAAGCAGAAGATGGATGTTGGGCGAATTGAGTGCAGCATGGAATTTCTCCCATAATTATGGATACTTATCCATGTTGGCGGACTCTTGATGAACTCCTGCAACATCTCCGGTGACCCTTGACCCACACTCATCAATCTTGTTGGCTTGGACATGCGAAAGAACACCAGCTCATTTTCAGCACTTCGGTCAGAGAACTCTTCACATACTCGATGTTGTGTAGGTGGAGGAGCGAGCTGCGGAGCGGACGGCGAAGCTTCGAAAGCAGCAGGAGGCGGGGGATGGGGCGCCCCGGTGAGGCCTTTGGTTCTGTGGGCTGGGGGATGGAAGCTGAGGGCTCCACACCTGCCATGCCATCCTGGTACGTGTCAATTGAGAGCCCAGGCACCCTTGGTTTGCATCAAAACGACCGTTGGTCAAGATTTCTGGGATTACTGAGAGATGCTCCGCTCAGCGGCTAAGCCTAAGCTGCTAAGCTTCTCCAAGAACCTAAGTTGGGGACTCCATAGGAGTCGTCCTCAAGATTTTATCTTCCTGCACTTCATAACTTCATGCAAGGGCATTTCATTTGGAGAGCAACTCATATATCAGGACCATCCGGAAAGGGGTTATGGATTTGACTCCCGCCGACATTCCAATCACGACTCAGTTCACCATTTCCGTTGTCAACTTTCATTTTCTTCACCCACTTGGTACTGGCTTCCGAAGCCCTCTGCAGCCAAGCCAAATCTCAAAATGGAGAGAAATCCCCAGTTCATCCCCAGACGTGCAGTTATTTTTAGGAACAGGAACCCTCACCACCCTGGCTCGAGGTAGCTGAGGAGAAAGCACGCGAGCAGGATGCATTGTGTGAGAAGGCAGGGACTGATGACTGATGGAGTTGCCGTGAAGCGACAGGTTCTGGGGGCACGGTTTGGAGATGCAACTATAGAGTCCCCTAACAGGTCCCCAGTCATGGACACGATGTCCAAGAATTGAAACACATGGACATGATACGTATTATTCGCAGTGAACTCAGTTCTTTAATAGACACTTTGGGCACACCCACTTCATTCTTTGCGAGCACTCGTCAGTCTACCACCATTTCAACCAAGCTGGGGGGCAGATAGGACGCGTTTTGGCGCCGCAAGGCGCAACTCCAAGCTGGATCCTCAATGATCCACATGCTCGCCTGAAACTCCAGGATCGTGGGCGTTTGGAGAGCTTGGAAGAGGAGGCTGCTGAGCGCTTGAAGCTGTGCCCTCGGAGGGCGCAATAGACCACTAGGACGCTGTGTATGCCGAAGGTGGAGAACCTCTTTCTTGAGTACACACTCAACCCTCCGCAGAGGTGTGGGGTTTCGCTGAGCCTATTCGTAGAACAAACATTAGAGGAAGATCATGGAGATGATTAGAACATAGTAAAGACACGATGGTTTGCCCAACAACACTACCAAGAAGCCCAATTGAGATATCCCACTGTCCTCCCAAAACCTGCCACCGCTATACCTCTTTGGCACTTGCGACACCCGAGGTCAGTGGAGGCGACGTGGGCGGCCAAGTTGAAGGCCCAGGAGAAGCCCTTGAGCTGTGCTGAGGAGGCCACGGTGGGGGGGGGGCTGATGAAGTGGGGAGAAGTGTCGGCAAGGTGAGTTTAGAGCGTGTAAGGGCCCGGCTTGACCAACCCCAGTCTGTTCAAGCAAGGAGGGTACTTCAACAAGACCTCTGAACTAGTACCCACACCTCTGAACATCAAATGACGGGTTTTTGAACAGTTTGTGAGATGGCTTATCATCGTCCTGCCCACCAATTGCAAACCTTGCAGCAAGTTCCTGCCAGCATGCAAAAAGGATTCGGGAAGTTGATGGACGTTGCGAAATTGCAACCAAAGTGATCCATGATTCGGGAAGTGAGGGAAGCGATCCAAACTGGTGACCCAAGTGATGGCCGTTTTTCTTTGCGAGTGAAGTTATTCAATCAAATCTGTGACGGACTGACGCGAAGCACTTCAAGCTGGGCCACGGTTTTGGGCGCGTGTCGTTGAGGGGTTTTGTGTCCAAAACCCCCATGTTCTTCGCCGGGCTCGTGGCAAGCTTTTTCGCGCCGGGCGTCTCTCTTCATCCAGTCTTGTCTTCCGCGACCCGTGTTGTGTCTGTTTGGGGTCTGCCGGGCCAAGCCACCTGCAGAGGCCTTGATGCAATATATCAACAAGAGCAAGTCCAAGATGGAGAGCTTGGAGCCCAGGAAACCATGGCACCTGACCAGCTCGTCGATGCTTGACTGTTCTTTCGCACGTTTCGAAGAACCGGACCCAACGGACCCCCAACGCAGGGGTTCAACGCAGTGGTTTGGAGCCTGGTAGCGAGTCATCAGCGTCCCAAGCCCTAGCATTCCACGCTTCCCGCCGCTTCCCGCTTCCTTCATCTGGCACACCTGTGCCCCGCACGCCTTTTTTCCGCGCGAGGCAAGGTGAAGCGCTTGGAGGAGAAGGCGACGGCGGAGCAGAAGGCGGTCGAGGAGGAAGCCAGCGCACAACGGGTGGTGGCTCGGGGCCCCTGAGACGAGACCACCCGGTCCGGTGGGTCGAAGATGGAGACGATGTTGCCAGGGAATGGAGACGATGTAGACTCTTGAGACACATGAAACCTCGCTCCCCAATGTGGATTGAAACACCCGTTTTGGCTGTTTGATTCATCTGTTTGAGTCTACATGGCCCCGTGTCACAGCGGTTGTGGACGTCACACATCCCACGCAAGCGAAACGAGCCACGAAACCTTCTCCGAGGCTCCACAGCTGGCGGCGCTGAAGCAGGGAGGCTTAGTCCAAGAAGGCTATGAGGTATATCATTGTTTAGCTTTACTGCTTTACTCATTGTTGTACCCAGACACTCCATGGATGATGCAATGTCACATCTATCTACACTGTCTGTCAACGCTGTGTGTTGGCTCCGGCTCCTCCCCGCGGTCGGGCGACACGTCCGTCTCCGGTGTGAGGTCCGAGGTCTTGGCCACCGAGCGGGGCGCCCACGCCGCGGACGAGGCCGGGGGGGTCGGAGGAGGCCGGGGAGAGGTGGAGGCTGCTGAGTTTGGTGGAGGACTTGGACGTGTCCGGCGGACGTTTGGTGAGGTGTTCGGAGACCTGCGACGTTCTCCGCGCGTCAGAGGGTGGTCTTTCGTCATGCGACCAGGGCCTGATCGGCAGAAGAGGAGTTGGTCTGAAGCGCGTTCGGACATTGGTCGCGCGGGGCTCTTTGATGGCGGCAACATGGATACCTTTTGGTGGGTCCTGATAGACGTCGTAAATCATATCAAGCTTAGTTTTATTTCAAATTTGCTGAGAACAACATAGTGCCACTACAAGTTAAGAGGTGATCCCGTACTTGACTTTTTTGTCATATTCATATATCTAATATACTTAATCTAGTCTATCTAGGTTTGATTCTTTTTGTTGTAGGCCTACAGCAGATGGCCCACACCAGTTCAAGCAGTTTAGATGAGGTTCATCCAAAGTATGACCCACACCACCAAAGTTGATCTGGAACCTGATGTCAGGATCGACCCTGAAGATCTGTTTCCTCCACGTTTGTGGGTCCACATCTTCGTCTGACTGGCGAACTGTTGATGGAAGAACTTCTGCACCACCTTCACCCCCAGGCCCGATGTAGTCGGGTGTTGCTGGTTTAGTAGAAGCCCTTGGGTGTTTCGCAGTGGGGTGTTGACTACATGCAGTTACGAAGGAGTCGTCGACTGCAAGAGATGCATCCTACCCGATGGGTCTTCTCTGAGGCCTGGAAGCGTGCGGAGGAGCGCGCCTGCGCGGAGGAAGCGAGGCCACGGTGTGGAGGAAATCACCGTGTCATCCGTCGTGCTGTAATGGGTTGGGATTCATGATCATCCCCTTGGCCGAGAATGCCCGTTGTTCATGATTCCAATGGCTTTGGTTCGTTTTGAGCCATCTCTATTGGCCATCGGCTTGTGGTTCAGCCTTATGAACAGCTGTTGGTCTTTTTGGGGCCGAGGAACAGCCAGCCAGTCGGAAGCACTTCGTCCGTCCCTCGGAAGGTCGTCTGGAACGGTACCCTTGGGACATGCCGTTCGCTCGGCCGTTCACTGGGCTCGTTTCGTGGCGGTTCGGGCCAGCGCCTGTCTGTCCCGCCGAGTCATCCACCCTGTGGTGCTGCCCCATGCATCGCCCTTGTCGGCTGGGCGTCCCGGGTCGCAGCAGCAGCTGCACGGTCGGTCGTCCACCACTCGGGCTGTCAGCGCTGCAGCCGCTGGGGACCGGGGGAGGGGATGCTGGTGACAGATACGCGTTGCACATCGACACTGGGAGTGGCTGGGGGCAGGTTGGGTGCGTTCCTGAAGCGCTTGCCACAGTTGGAGGTTGGGCGGGGGGACGGTGGAGAGGTCGTGTTTCTTTTTTTGGGGTTCTGAAGGTGGGAGTCCTTCCAGGATGCTCAGATGCAAACCCTTCTGTGACCGGGGGTGTTGGGGTGGTTATATAATCCTTTCTTTTACCAAGTCATCTGAAGACTTGTTGAGCAGATTATTGGGCATTGATTTGGGAGGACTGAGGACATCGGGCCGCGGCCACAGAAACCAGTACAATACCACGTGTGATTTTCCCAGGGCTAGTTTTGACAGCCTGTATCATCTATAGCTCCAGCAGCACAAACCTCCTTGATGATCTTGATGTTGCACGTCTCTCCAGGATAAATTCAGTGTATACTGGCTCTGGGTTCATGGCTTCTTTTTCAGCAGGCCCAAACGAGCCAGCACTCTTCCTGCAACCACTGTGAGAGAGCCATGCTGTCCAGAGTGTTCAAACATGTTCAAACATGTTTTCCGCTGGCAGCAGTTGTGGCCCCCCTTGCGAGAAAGGCGTTTGAGCTGCTTGAGACATTCAGCAGAGCGGCTTGGTCGTGCGGTGTTGAAGAGCGAGGAGGTGCGATGCTTGGTGGAGGAGGCGAGGACACCCAGGAAATCTCAACTTGCTGGAAGACGTCCGCCAACTTCAAGGGCATTGGGTGATGGCAGCGGCCGGTGGCTATGTTGCGATTGTGGGATTGAGAAGACACTGGCAGACTTTGGTGTGAAGTCAAATGGTGATAGTGTTCGATCTTACTGCAAAACTTGTGATAAACGAAGAAAAGCTGAATACACTCGAACTCTCCGTGGAAACACGAAGATTCTGGTATGCAATGCCAGGCAACGATCCACAAAGAAAGGCTTGGCCTGCAATTTGAGTAGCGACCTCATCCTTAACAAGATCCTTGATCAGCAAGGCAGATGTGCGTACTCTGGTGTTCAAATGGAGCTGCTACTGCCGCACTCCGACTGGCGGATGTCTTTGGAAAGGGTGAACAACGCTGTTGGGTATGTCCCAGAAAACTGTGTTCTCATTGCCGCTGAGTTTAACACCACTGAGAATATCAGCAGAAGGGTTACAAATAAGGAGACTGCTGGATCTTCTAAGTGGTCCTTGGATAAGGTCCAACATTTTGGAACTGAACGGCTTTTGCATGTCGACTTACAAGTCTTGGGCAAGTCTATCAAGGCTGCCCGTGAAAGGTATCAATCCCTTCCTGCACCTGTCGTTCTCGCTTCCTGTGAATGTGAACTTAAGGAACTTGACGGGGACTTCGAACGATTCAGATGTTCGAGGTGTGGCTTCTGGAAGCCCGCCAGTCTTTTTTCTTTGTCCAGGAACTCTAGGAGGGGCCTCCAAAGTCAATGTAAACAATGTGCTGGAGAGTACAGCCTGTACCGTAGACTGACTTTACGCGGTCACGTCCTCACGATGCTTAACCATGCTCGTAGCAGGCACAGACTTGGCAAGTGGCACGGCAACTTTGAGATTGACCTGGATTCTGTGCTGAAGATGCTGTGGTTTCAACAAGGGCGCTGCTTCTACTCTGATATCCCGCTGCGTTTTGCTGAGCTCAACGTTGATTGGATGATGTCACTCGAACGACTGGACAACAACAAGACGTACACCAAAGAGAATACAGTGCTGGTGGCGTTAGAATTCAACTCTGCGGATCACAGTCGAACTGCCACATCGCAGGTGTTTGGCTCTGGCCAGTGGTCCAGACGCAAGGTGGAACATATTTGGGGGGCGTTCATTGGAGCTAAACTGGATCGACCTGTTGCTCAAGGGTGGGAAAAAGTTGACGGGAAAAAAAATCCAAACAACTGTATAGCAACCAAGCTTCACGTGCAAGAAACCCAGTTGGCGCGGATTTGTTTGGGAAAATGTGGCATTGTGCGGCATTTCGTTGCGCACGCAGCTTTTGCTCAGGGAGGGTAGCAATGCAGGAGCTTGCAAGAGTTGCGCGAGGTCCTCATGCAGCTGATGAGCCGTAACTGATACAACTCGATACAAACTCCCATGTCCAAAACAGTTTGGCTCCCTCCCAATGGAACCCGCTGCTTTCCACATCATGGTCTGAAACCTTGCAAGGCACAGTGACAGACCTGAAAAATCAAACATAAAACTCCGAAAATTTCAAATCCCCTTACAGCTGGGTATTTTCCCCCAAATTCCCAAGCATCACCACATTCGCATCACCACGCGTAAAGAACTGATACTGGTGGGAGATAGCAACGATGTGTCTAGAGTGATTGGAGAGATTCCTGTCCGCCTGGCTGCCATGCAGTCCATGTTGAAGTGGCTCTTCTCTTGTGCAGATGTGCGCCCTGGGAAGGATGCCTGGGGTTGCTTGGCCATTTTAGAAGTGAGGAAACCAAAGTGAAGAAAGAGAGGATCACCACGGTTTTCTCGGCTGGAATATAGAGAGGGAACTGCATTGTAGTAGTGAATGCATCGTGGGGTGAGCTAACGGGAGCACCCCAAAGAAAGCCTCCCACTGGCTGAGGATGTTCGACCGTCATGTTCACCTCGTTACACTGTTTGAAAAAGCAGTGATATGGTTTGGAATCAGATCGCAATCCTTCTCTGTATTTGGTGGTGAGTCACCCATCTATGGCTTTAAGGTCCCAGCCGTGGTAGTTTGGTGTCACACTGAGGCGATGTGTTTGAAACGCAGCTTGACATGGAGGAGGCAGCTTGGCAGTCCCATTCTCACCACAGCTTTGCAGGATTTGATCCAGCGATGCCATCCCAACATCTCGTGGGCTCCATCTGCCACTCGGTGGCTGTTCCAATCGAAATGGTTTCCCTGCTGCCATTGGTCCTGCCCCGAACATGGAGTCTTTTTCAGTCCCTGAACTCGCGGTCCGGGTGGTCGCCAACAGGCGGAGTACCAAGCCATGGCGGGGCGGCGGCAAGGGCCGCCGGACCCATCCACGGTGGTCTTCTTAGATGTGGACGGCGTCCTCCACGCAGCGTGGTGCAAGTGGGGTAGTCTGTGATGGGGAAGGGGTGGGGGGGGGGAAGTGATGGGAAGTGGTGTAGTGGGGCAGGGATTACATACCATATATACCATAGGAATCGATCAATCTCATATACATACTGTAAAATACACACACATGCAAATATTGGCGTCAGTCCATGTCTTTTGACCGGCCTTCCTTAAAGCTAGACCACCCCAAACATGGTGGAGTCAGGACCTTGGAAGACAGACGTCTCCTGCGATCTTCTTGGGCCCTCCACGTGGTCGGTTCCGCCCGCAGTGCCTCAGGCGAAGGGCGATGAGTTGGATCACTTCCGCGCCAGCAACATGCGCGCCCTGCGACGCATTGCTGCCCGGCCGGAGACGGATGGACCGCAAGGGGGTTGGGGGTTGGACCTCGGCGGCCAGGGGCTTTCGGAGGGGATGACCGACGTGACCGTCCGCGGGATGAGACGGGTGGTCAGATGGCTGGGAAGCAGACGAGTCGTATAGATCGGGTCTGTCCCAGTAAACCATAGTAAGCCTGTAGAGCAGTTGGTAAAGAAGAACATCAGTATTTTAGAGAACAGGCCTGCAACCTAACGATCATGATCCACCGTCAATTACTGGTAATGGGATACATACCCTATTGTATAGAGTTAACCAGCAAGAATCCATTGAAGCCAAACATGTTGGTTGTTGATACGCCTGGCCGCCTGGGCAGCGGTTTTGGCGACATGCGAGTGGCAAACCGGATTCCAGACCTTATAGCGTAAGGAAGATATGCTTTTCCGTCTCACCCCAGAGAAAAAAGTGCGTGATAGATTCGGGTCATGAGCCTTTTCCAGCATACATTGGGCCTGGACGTAGTTTTGCAAGGCCAGAAGCCACGTGAATCTTCACGTTCCACTTTGCCCATGTCTGAAAAAGCAACACTTCCGGCCTATTGGTTGTCTCGTCCAGGTGCTCACGAGCAATGCGACGGTGGTCCTCTCCTCAAGTCACTTGGAAATTTTGTGCACGACGAAGGTGTGTGGCTGAAGTGCCATTGAAGTGTCGCCAGATTTTGGAACGACACCCGGAAAAGATGAACATGAACCCTGAAAATGCACCACGGGTTGTGGGTTTATGGACACCCTGACATCCTATGTATTGTCCATCCAACAACCACCCCTTCCGTGGTGTTGGTGAGTTCGAGGGTGACCTTGGTGAGAAGATTTCGGACAACTACGCATCCCAGAGACCATACTTGGTTTGTATGACTCATACTATCTGCTACATAGTGTCATGGTCACGTCTCATGGCAATGTGTTATAGCAGTTGTGGTGAATGCGTCCTTGTCATTGACAAAGATTCTTCCAGAACGGGCTCCCTCACAAACTTTTGGCCCATTTTCTACGCAATGTTCATGTCAATGTAATTATCACGGATATCACGGATATCTTTCGACTTGTCAGGGCTTGTTTGACCTTTAACTGTTTAGAATTGATGTTTCACTCGTTTTCCATGGTCTACACTCCCTGGAATTGTGGAAGTGGACCACCTGGTTGGTCTTCGGACCATGGGCATCCTTACTTACAGGGCCTGCCACGGAACGATGATGATTCCAGGTTGACCAATGAGACCCCCCAAGACTAACATAGACCCCGAAAGCCACTGGTTGGTAGAGGAAGACACTCCCCAGGTGTTCGTTTTCGGGAGGATACCCTTTTTGCTTCTTCCGTGGGCCCGTCCGTGCCACGACCAGTCGGACATGGCGGACGAGGCTGGCGCCGAAGGCCCCCGCTGCTCCAGCGTGCAGATGCAGTGCTGCAGAATTGGGGGCTTGCAGGCAGGGAGCCTTGCGGGGGGAGAGAAAACTTGAAGAGAGAAGACTTGCTTGAGTCAGTGAGCTTTACAGTCTGCCCAGGTAGGTCCAACATGGTCCAACCGCTAGACTCTAGACTGGTTATTCTTTGGGAAGAGGAGTGGTTCTCCAGACACCATCTGGCCCCCCCAAATGGTCCGGCTCGTCGATGAAACGAAGGGGTCCCTATGGTTTGGAAGAGTGGATGCAAGATGTAGGACCCATTTCCGGCTTCTTCCAAGTGACCCTCAAAGAGGGCTCGTGACCCAAAAGGGAGGCTTATATAAGTGACCTCAAACTGGGAGCGAAACTGTCTGGATCACTTGGAAGAACCAAGAACCAGGTCGTAAGAATGATGAGTTTTAGCAGAAGAAGAGTCACTTGCCCTGCCAACCATGAACTCCATGGTTATGTGTGGTGGTTTGAGATAGCGAACAGATTGTGTGGCAACACACTGGGGATGCTGGTATTCTTATTTCAGCCTTCTTGTTTTCTTTGATCCCAAACAGATAGGACCAGGAAACAACCTCCATAGTTGGCTCCCATCTCGCTCAGTTGACATCGTTTCTCAGGGCGCCCCGTGAATTGAGTCCTCTATACCAGGACCTTCCAACAGATGGTTTTTGGACACCCCTTAACCTCTTAAGAGGCCATTTATAGACACCTCAGAAGGAAGGTGCTGGTAGATCCGTGCCGACCCTTGGAATCCTCTCGAGATCCGTTTCGGTGCACGACGCGACGGTGGGAGCGCAGATGCGCGGCGTACGGATCGAACGCCAGCCGCGGAGATGTGCAGCGACGTATCGAACGCTTCGTGGACACCTTCGTGCTTTGTTTTAGATCACGTGACCGGAACCCTTCTGCGGGAGCGCTGATCGCTGCCTGCCTTCACAACGACGGATGACTCCCGAACCCTCGTACGCCAGCACCAGGTGTGGCCGATCAGACGCCGGACTTGAAGGCCCAAGGCCTGAAGCGCGAGGAGCGCCGGTGTTTTGCGTCCCCCAGCGCCGCACGCGGTGTTTTGGGGAGGAGACAGGGCGCAGAACCCGTTGCTACGGCCGCCATATATGGTCGCCCTATGCCGATGTCGTGACATCGCCATGTTTTATGGGGCACACGTGGATGACCCATGAGCCATGGTACGAAGTGGTCCCATGGCCTCCGGTGAACCAATCGACTCGTGGGTCCTCGACCCCCTCGAGGACGAGATTTTGATTTGGCTCCGACGGCATCCCGAGGCCAGATGGTTCTGGGCGTGTCCACCTAAATTCCCGGGAAACGATGGATCATGAAGCTGGAGTATATTATGGCTGGCTACAGTACATTGTGCAGGAGATGCCCAGCCATGAGCATCCCAGGGTTCATGAATGAGATTGGTTCCCCACTCAAACCCAACAGGTGGGAAAGTTTGGTCCACCTGATACTTTTTTATTTTCTTTTTCGAGGGGCACTGACGCAGAATCCGCGGGCCAGAGCTTCATGTTGATTCATTTGTTCATTGGAACATATTGGAACCGTGTCCAAAAAGAACATCTGTCCAATAGTGGTGGGTCCACTCTTTTCATGCACATGGTGATGTTGATTCTTCCCAGGTAGTGCAAGAGTTGGTCTATCAACCATAGGCGTAGCGGCGCAGCGGCATAGAACCTTCTTTCTGCAGTTTTTGAAGGCCACTGCGGACTGAGATTTCGCAGTTCTCGCAATCTCGCAACCGCTCACAATAGTTCACCACGGTAGCCGCTATTGGAGACCCAAACCCAACAAGTGACACTGATAGACTGGAGACACATGATATACTTGGGCTATTTTTGGCTTGCTGTATGTTCAAATCCGAGCCAACCCGGTCTTTTCAAGGCAAGATTCCATTGAATGGAACATGGTGGAACAGCTGCGTGTTGAATATCACCATTGGTTCACTGGGAATGTTCCTCATCCACTTCTCTTGCACCTCCTTGCCCCCCGGAGGTTTTCAGCTGTGTGTTGAATATGGTCCCTTGCTTTCACTGGGTTCATGGTTCGACCTCATCCACTTCTCACTCTACTGCTTCGCACCCTCCGGGTCCGGCCCGTTCAGGTTCGGCATTGGTTGGCCTTGGATGACATGGAGTTGACCTCCTCGGCGTCCAGCTTGGTGAACGCCTTGATGGCCCAGCACGTGATCCAGACCGATCCCGAGTGTGCCGGCCGAGTGTGACGGGGCGGGGGGGGGGGGGGGGCTGGCGAACGGACGCCGAACCGCCCGTTGAGAGTCAGAGGTCCGCCGGGCGGTCGGATGTGATGTGAGAACATGCTGAAGATCAGGGCTGAGGAATGTGCGACTCGTACTGGTAGGGAGTGAGGGAATGACCTCGCAATAGAGATTCCTTACGGTCCAGCCACCCCTACTTTCGTCGCACCGGTCAGAGGAACACGTGACCAGTCGCCCTTTCGAGAATCACAGGATCGACCAGACCCAACAGATGAAATATCATGAAACCCTCCGTTGGTACTTTCTATTCTGCTTCATAGTTCCGAAACTGGGTGCTGAAAGAACTGGTACTTCTTAGCTTCGGATCTCCTCCTCCTCCTCCTCCTCAGACCAACTTCTATGCACATCTTCTCAGGATCGGCCTGAGAGAGATGTCCCAAGTCTCCCGCGCTCTGCGGGTGCTGCAGAAGTCCCGGGGCTTCGTCGAGGACGGTGGTGGCGGGTGGCGGTGGTCGGTTTTTCCGGTTGTGGGAGCGTTTGCAAAGTCACCCGGTCGCGTGCAAAAAGAGGACAGCTCTTTCCAGATGTTGCACGTTCTATTTGGGTATCATCATATTGAGAGATACCGGATATCGCTCAGCAAACTTCCAGGAATTGGACAAATGGTTTTGTAGTTTGCCCTTAACTTCGTGATTCGCACGAACGAAACTAGGCCGAGAATAGATGTGAAGCATCCCGGCCGAATATTTGGGAAATTGGGGGTGGAATCGAGCTGAACTGTTTTGCTTTCTTTGCGTCAGGCAAGGTATTTGGAGCCAAAGGCGTGTCCAATGAACCCAAAAAGGTAGTGTAGGGCAGCGGGTAGTGCGGTAGTTCATTGTGATTTTGTTGGATCACATCTTCTCCATTTCATGCGGACTTGCCCTTCAGGAGGCGCTGGAAAGAAAGAGGGTGACACAGAGATCTGGGCTCTGTGCATGAGACTAATCTTCCCATTGCATAGTGCCTCAGCTGCCTCAGCCGTGGCGTTGGGGTCGATGGAAACCGTCAAGCAGCAGCTCATGCAGATGAGATCAGGTTAGGCAACATCGTGTTGAAAGAAGTGGGTTCGTTGGGAGATGACCCTTTTCCCGAAGACACCCTTTGCTAGAGATGGGGTCGAAGATGAAGGCTTTGGCTGCTGGTGATGGCTTGTCACTTGTCAGTATCTACTCTGAACCAGATCCACTCAGCTCTCAGAAGAGGCGATTTGAGAGGCCAGCCCAAAACAGACACCACTGACACCACCCACATTTTTGAAGCCCAAGTTTGGGACTCCAGGTACACAACGTACAGGAAAACCGACATTTTTTTTCTTGAAAAAGGACAGGATTCCAGAATTTAATTGGGGTGTTGTGGACGCACGGAAGCAACAGGTCACCATTGGAACTGCCGGTCCTTCCCTACCCACCACGTGCCCACATGAGGTGGCCGATCGCGGCTCCACATGAGAGGTCCGCGGTTTTTGGTCGGCACGAATGAGCGAGAGTCCAAGTGCCCAGCTGCACGTGGCCCAGGTCAGACCTGGTCCCTTTTCGACACCTTAGACGTATCCCAGGTGGCCTTGATAGCCCAAGCTTGGTTTGGGGTCCGGAAACGAGCAACAAGCACTAGACGAAGTTTCCATGGCTATGGTTAGTTGAGCGATTCAGCACTAAAAGGACACAGTCACGTTTCTGCAACTGTGTAGGATTTGCATCCCAGAGCAACATACTGCGGACCGCATCTCTGACAGCGGCACTTTCACACCTGCGATTCACGCGCCCTTCCAGGACGCCTAATGATGCCTAGTATAGGTGAAGGACGCCGTTCAACTGTGGACGTTGGTGACCCCCAACCAGAGAAATATCAGGACCATTTGTTTGACCATGTCCTTGCTGGAAGCCCTCGTTGTGGGTTGATGCTCCAGCATGCTGATGCTCCGTGACCCTTGCCAGAAAAGACCTGTGCAGCATCCCGGACTTTCGACATCTAGAATCGATTTTTTTGGGCGCCTTTGGCACCTTCGGCCGACGCCGGGGGCTGGAAGAAACCATTTCGGTCGGTGCCTTGGGTGTTGGTGTCGGTGTCGGTGGGCGGTATGAAAGCTGAGAAACCTCAGAAATGGCGTCGGGGCCGCTCCTGGTCGGATTGCTTGTGCTTTCCCGGCAGACGGTTCCAAGTTTTGCCTGAGCCCTGACGTCTCATAGAAGGCGTCCGCTTGAGAGTCCGTCTTCGGCGGATGCAAGGCACATCCTGGTGCCTTTGATTGCCTTTGAATTCGCAGGATGTGCATTTGGGTACAGCAGTATGGAGCCCCAGTTAAGATCTCCTGATTTGTTCATTCAGAGGTGTGCATGCTTGCTTCAGGCGGTATGCACCAGCCGGAGGCGAGAAAGTGGAGACCATCTGGGGTCTTCATTCTTGGATGTACCCATCTGAATGCGGAAGCGGGAGCGGTGACCTGCTTTTGAAAAGCGTGCAAGAAAGTGGACGCGCATGGAAACTAAACATGTGACGAGTTCTGTTCATTGTTTTTGGAACCACACCGTCATATGCGGAATGCAACCAGATTTTTCTAGGACTCCGGATTTTGACACTTCATCGCTCCTACTGCAAGTTTTCTTGCTGCTCCAACGAAGCCTCGGAGTAGCAATCTTTTGCGCGCGCAAGGATGTGCGCACGCGCCGGTGCGGCCGATTGAGTCAAAAGCAGGGGGAAGGGGTGGTGGATGGGTTCCACCAGCGAAAGAAGGACCAGATCCGCTCAGATCCACGAAACATCCGCTAGATCCCTGGAAGACCCATGGTTGGCACGGCGACATGTCCGGAAGAAACATGGTGGCCATGGATGTGGGTTGTTCCGGGGTGACCGGCTCAAACACTTCACTTGTCGTGGCGACCACACTTGTGTGGTGTGTGACTTGTCGGCCTGAAGGAGTTGTGTCCTCTATACCAGGACCCCCCCTTCGGGGGCTTCTATTGATAGCCCTTGTGGGTCCCGGTAGTAATATTTCTGAAGCACTTCATACTTTTGTGGTTCAGACGTTCATAAAGCTTCGACCGCAAACATGACAATATCTCTAGACAATTTCTCCGAATTTCTCCCCGTGACTCGTCACCCTGCCAGTCGCAAGCAAACCGACCGACGGTCCATGGTATTTTCAGCTCTTGGGGACGCAAGTTGGACCATCGGGCTACACCGAGGATGCTCGACTTATAAGTGAGCCGGACGTCATAAGTGTGTTCAAAACAAGCACTTATTCCCCATGGGCAGATTGTTTGGGCTGAAGCACAAACCTGGGCGGTTACCTATGCCTGTTCCTATCGGACCCAGGTTGCCAAGGGCGTTTGCAGCCCAAGAAATAAGATGACAGAGACCCGAGACCCCGAGGGGTGTCCGCACAAGCCTTTTCTGTTGGATTTTCAGGTGTTGTCCAATTAGCACTGTGCCGACCGGCATTCTTGGGCCAGGTAGAGGCCAAGCAAAAGGGGGAGCAGATGGCTGCAGAGGCGGCGTTTGGGGGTGCATGATTCTTTTTGTTTCTGCGGATCGCTTCGGTTTTCGACCTCGATCACTTTGGTGTTGGCCTGTTAGTCGGCCTGTTGGCCCCAGGGTGCATCCACGTTGTGTCCATCTTCTTTCCGGAGTTGTTTATATTTTTTGGTTTTTATCGTTTTTTTGTGTGTTTCCTTTCGTAGTTTCAGCAAGCTCTTTGGGAGCGACCGGGCAACACAAAACGAACTGTATCGACCTCTTTCCTCCCAGGCTGAGGAGAAGGCTTCTCTGGATGTGGCGACAGCAACTCTGCTTGAGACCGTACCCGTGATGGACAGCAACTCTGCTGTCTCCTCTCGTGGAGCGCCCACCGAAGCACCCCAGCTAAGTGGGCCTCTCGCCCCGTCCCGGAATGGAACTGCAGTGGTCCCAAGTCTCACATACCTTCGGGCTGTGTCGTTTCCAAAAGCTGCAGCACTGGACTAAGGCCTGGTATGAATGATGAATCCCCACGGCGCCAGTCCGACCCCTGACCCCAAACCCAGCCCCAAAGTCTCCCCCCCACCTTCACTTGGAACTCACGGTCTCCCCCAAACGGGCTTTCACTCCCCAGCCGTCTCTTGCTCACCATGGCGCCTCCCTCTCCGGCACCGAGGCGCGCGAGGACGCTCGGCTCTGCCGAGAGATTGCCGGCCGCACCGTGGCGGCCTCGCGCCAGCCGGGGGGCCCCGGCGTCGCCGACCGCGACCGGCCGGTTTCGGGTGGGCAACTGCCTGCCTGGTGGCGCCGAGATGGTGTTTGTGCCGGCTTGTTCGAAGAGTTCGCTGAAAGAAGATCGGATGTGAGGTGATGCAGTTGAAGGATAAGTGAACTGGCATAAACTCTGCTCTGCCAGGACCTTCCCAGTGACCTCTTCAGGATTGGTTAGTGACCTTTTCAAAGCCTAAGTGACCTCATTCTGGGATCTCAAAGGGTCACTGGGAAGGTCCTCGTGCAGAATGTTTAGAAGAATTGACAGATTTATATACACTTCATTGCTTTGGTCTATAAGGTCTGCGGTTTTATTTGGGCTTAGATGGTTAGCTAATGTTAGCTAGCAAACATTGGTGCTAGTAACAGTGGTAGCAATAGTGCTATAGCGTCCCTCCTGGTCGTCCTGGTCAAAGCTTCCTGGTTCCGGCCCCTCGCGCCAGGTTGGTGGAGCGCACGCGGTCGAACGGCCAGGATCGGCTGGACCGGTCTGGGGCACTCAGGGGTGGATGGAGGGGAGGGCGGGTAATGTGTGCCTGAGATCCTGGCACACTCCACTTCTCAGTTGAAAACCAGTTGATTCCAGTCAATCCTTCCAGACTGACTCTCGCAGTGTTACATCGCCAGTGCAGGAATACGGACTTGTATATACCCCCCCCCGCCGGGGCCATGGGGTGTCTGAGCTCTGGTCGCCCCTCGGAGGCGACCAACGGGGTGTCCATTCATTCGCCTTCGGGGCACGGAGGTGCACCTTAGAGGTGACAGAGGCGGAGAAGGCGGCGCTGGAGGCGGAGCTCCGCGGCGTGTCGCCGCGTCGCCCGTGTGCGGTGCGGAGGTGGATGGCTTTCGGAGGTGGATGGGCCCGATGGAGGATTTGACGATTTGCAAGCAGATGGAGAACCTCATCGGTCTGGTCGTTGCCTCTTGAGCTACACCCAGAGGGAGTCTTTCAGATTCTGCCTAGCTGCGAGCAGCTTTCCTGCGTTGTTCTCACCAAGCTAAGCTGCCTGAGCCCAGCAACGCTCCTGAGCCAAGCTGTGTGAGGCATTGGAGGAGGAGAAAGAGGCCTCGGTGAATGCACAGAAACTCATAGATGCTTGGACTTGAGGGTGGTTGAGGGGTGGTTGGTTGAAAGAGTATGTTTCAAAATCGTGCACCCACAAACGGAGCGGCAACCGAGCTGGGTTGTGAAGATTTGTGTTGCCTGGAGCAAGCCATCTTTTTTAAATTCGCTATTTGTTCGCTTGTTTTGCTTGGGATGTCCGGGGTGTGTCACGTGGCGGAACGTTGAAGAGATACCTGCTCATTTTGGGGCTAGGCAAGTACTCGTACTAAGGGGTCTTGTTGCCAAGTTGCATTCACAAAAGATACAATACCTCATAGATTTGTCAGCTTCTCAGGTTCCATTCTGTATAATTCTCTCTCTCTCTCTATATATATAAACCGCCCTTTGTGTTTGTATGTACAGCCCATATATACTCCGCTATAGGTACTGCAGACACGTGACTCTTGACGTGTTTTGGCTCAAGGGAGAAAAGGCGTTCCGAAACGTCGAAACCTTGTTTTCATGGTAGCGCGTGAGCCCGGTGAAAGCGAAAGGGACCGAGTTTTGCGCTTAAAAGAGGAAAGACACAGTAAAGTAGAAAGCTCCGAAGAAGAGGAGCTGGGGTCCTCGGGAGCGGCAGATCCTGCCGCCCCGAGCGGAATAGGAGAAG